GTCTACAAATAACTTGATAAGCAAATTAAAGAGAAAATCAGTCGACAATACATCGTGCCAAAGTCCTTCCCAAATCCTGTTCTTCATTGTGCTCATCACAGGCCATTGTTGTCAAATGCCAATCACTCCAAATCATTGCCGATAAGTTCCATTTTTTAGAACTTAAATAGTTTCAGCTTTAAATTAATATCTATTTCCAACATTATATGCTAAATCAATTTATACTCTCTTTTTTTGTAAAAAACTAAATTCTTCAGTAAGTATTAATGTATTATATTAAACTACATACAAAACATTCTCACATGAAGAACAACCTAAGGCCTCTCAACTATGCTACAGTGCACTGACTACTAGGATGTGTAAACAGATGTCATAAAATAGAATATCATATGATATAATAATTCAGTTTATAACGATCACCTCACTGTTATTTGTTCACCAATATTCCTAAACTATATTAAGTTGTCACTTATACATAAAAGAGCATGCATCACTATATTTTCCAAGCTCGATCTCAGGGTGCAAGATAAAAAGAAACAGTCAAGAAGGCACATAGCAGGAGGATTAAAATACGAACATGATTTTGGTACTTATGACCTATAAATATGAAAAATAATATCCAAAACTCACGCTTCCAACATCCAATAACTTCGTCTTTGAAATTTTTCATTCTCTTCACCATGAGCATAGTAACAATGAAGCATATCAACACTTCCAACCTGGAACAGTAATCAGTTTAATTGGATCTTAATTATTGACTAAAAAAATAGCTAATAGAATTTAAGGTGGAAACTACAGAAAATAAAATGGCTGGAGCATTTTTGCTTAAAACTGTCAAGACAATCAATGGAATGTCAAGGAATTTCTTTACATTTTCTAGAATAACACAACAAGCTGTGTCTAAATATTGATGCTTGTAATAGAGGTAGATCCAGAAGATGATATTAGATAAGGAACAAAAAGCTTTCATGTCCCATAAACAACTATGTTTATATAGCTTTCTTTGATTTCCTCCACATATTCTGAATGTTCTGATGGTATCATTTGTTTCAAAATAACATGCAGTGTTTAGATACATCTGCCATGTTAAAGTTCTGTTCTTTGTATATAAGAAAGGCCATTTAAGTAGATCAAAGTGGGTCCCATGAATCATGCTTGTGGCATGCCCACATCATTTCCTGAGTAATGACATGGGTAACTGTTCCACTTAGATACCATTATGTATATACAGCCATTCATATATACAGCATGCTTATATACACAATTATATGTTATAGAAGACACAATATTCAACGTTTTACACAACAATGTTTTGGTTAAAATCGCAATGACCTAACAAAAGGGCATAAAAAAATACATAATTACAAATTTCACTTACTTTTAGCCTCTCATGAGCTTCTTTTACAGTCTTCCCATCCTTTTTCTTTCTCCAGTTATGCCCATCCTTCCTGAAGTACCTTAACACCTTTCTATCAAAAAGAAACAAAGACCCACCTGAAGCAAAGAAAAGACAAGTAAGGTTATCCAATACAGAGAATGTATAGAAAACATGGTAGATCAATGCTTCTCTATATTGACAGTAATTATAATATCCATCTCCAACATTAGCATATTGTTCATCTAAAACTAACAACAGGGTTTATGATGAATTGGGACAAAGTAACTTGAAAGAAAATTTGTCCAATTTAACAACTGTATACTTAATTATAGTAGAGAAAGAAACAAAAAATGACATGACTTTTTCTGCATTTAGTTTGATGTGACAATGATACTTGAACATATCCTAGCACATACCACATTTTCTTATTTACATATCTATCTAGTTATAAAGAATCAGAGAGGAGTATATATGCATACATGTTATTAATTTTTTAAAATAGTAAACAGAGCAACATATTTGTAAATGTGATGAACAAGTTCATAAATGACCGATTTAAGCAAACACAAATTTCAGTTATTGATGGAGTTCATAAACTGTCACTAAACATAAAAGATTTGCAAAAAAAAAATAAACCTATTCAAAAACGAGTGTGACATTAATAAAACTTGAAATGAATCATACTAGGAGGTCTATTTGGCGGCCCTGGTGCAATACGAAATTTCCTATAGTTTTGGAGTATTTCACAAATTTCAGCAGGACGTAGCCATCGACGTCGTGCTTCCACAAGTATCTGCTCAATATCTGTATATCCAAAATACGATCAATCGATCATTAGAAGAAGAAAGAAAAAGAGCAAGCATGTACAAAAGAATGGAAGTAAAATGGGCATACTGGTCTCTCCAGGACCAGTACAAATGTTGATATCAAACAATAAACTGCAGTGTATCACTGGAAAATAATAGTCGAACAGAGACTAGAATGTTGGCTAAATAAACATTTAGGACAGAATCATACAATTGGTACTGGTCACTTGCATAGTACTAAACAAAAATATGACCAACCACCATAACAGAGAAGAACATACGAGAAATGGATAAATAGGCATAGGAAGGATTGGGTCCTCACACCATAATAGTATACAATCATAAGATTGCACCATTCAAGGAACGGTCATTTTAGCCAATAGAAGTTCCAGTTCTCATAAGTAAAATCCAAAACCAAATCACTGTATTTCAAAACTAAGGAAATTAAATTATAATGGTTATTTTATTGTCATAGATGTTGTCTCCAGAGAATGAAACATTGTCATGAAGCAATAACAACTAAAACACTTCCAAAAACATATGAGTAGAGCAAACAGGATATAACCCAAGGAACTGCCAACAAGAGAATTTCGAGCAAGTGTATAAGTGTCCAGTTACTTGAAATAAGAATTTAAATGCTGTTACATGCAATAACTAAATAGTAGAATGAATATTAGAAATGGGCATTTGACATATGTTCATCTCTCTAAAAATTTATGTGAAACAATCATCAACGATTTATTGTGTACAACAGCTTAGTAAACTGTTCTGAAACATAAAGCCACACAATCTGTGCTTTACAAATGAACCGAACGAACAAAGGAAATTCGCAACCAAACACCGACACCAATCAACACGCACGCACACGAAGGAGACAGCGGTGCCATCGAATCCTACCGAAAACAAGAGATATCACACCCAAGCATCGAACCACAGATTAGCCCATCCAAATAGCAAATTGGTAGTAAAGAAATAAAAAAGAACAAACAAGCAGAAAACTGAAGCCACACACACCTAACTGAGAGGTCGATCCACCCTTCCTGGCGCACGCCATGAATCACCCGAACACAAAGAGCCCACCTAAAGCCGACTCGTTCCTTAAAACCACAGATTTTGCAGCATAAGGATTCGGAACGCCCGATCCGACCAACGAGTACCACAAGCGTGAGAGATAAGCCCGCTTGATTCCCAATCTAATACCGAATCGAACGAATCTTCCTCGAAGGTCCCCAATTAGGGTTCAAGAAACCGATCAAAAGGTACGCTTGTTGATGGGCAAAGACTGAGACCGATGGTGACAAAAGGGCGAACGTTCGAGTAGTTACGAGCGAGAGAAAAGCAAGGAAGCGAGCCGACCCGCCGGGTTGGACATGGGGAGGAGGAAGTGGTCTTTGGAGACGGCCATTAACGACGACGACGGCGGATTAGAACGAGGCGATTTATGGGACGTCCGTCGGACGGAAACGCCCCTCCGTGCTCGGTGGCATTACCGACGCGTCGCCACGGGATCCAAAAACACTCCCTACCGGTTGGCCGGTACCGTTCTCTACCTGCCTTGATATTGGAGCACGAAAGGGCCCCACGAGTGGGTCCAGCCGACTCTCCAAGCATAGAAGACTCGTTTCACGTGTCCGTGGGGAAGTTGGTTGCGGTCACGTCGGACGTCGTTTTCCGTTACAGTCGTCGAGCAATGGCAACTGCCATGACCTTTCGATGTTGCTAAGATCCTCTGCAATCGACAAGCAGGGGCACCGCGCTCCAACTGACGTTTCAGCCGTCCATTCACGCAGGCATCGTGACGGGAAGGAAAGATGGACGGGTGCTGATTGGATCCACATGAACTTGGAGTAATAGAATGCACCGAGAATTGGAGGGGATCGTCGCGCTCTTCATTAACTTGATATCGCCTCACGGTCTTTCTGCTTGCGGGTCGGCTCGGCTGTCTCGATAGAGACAGGATCCATATTTTACACCCACCGATCCCAAAGTCAATCACCCGTCGGTCACTTCCACTACGACTCTTTGTGCGACCGGCCAATGAGAGGACTTCGTGGGACCACGTGGATCGCACGCTTTTTGTCTTCGCTTGGATATAATTATTACGACGGAACAGATGCCATCTTCCATCCACGCGACCCTTTGAATAGAATTGACCATAAACACAAAATTAAGATATAATAATATGATTCGTTGGATAACTTATCTTATTAGATCATTCGAAAGCTCGAATTACAATATAGCTTATTCGAAGAATAATAGCTTGTGTCAAGTGTTTCTTGGAATGTGACTCGCAAGATTGATTATGTGTCCAATGCAATAATAGCAAGATTTTGATTCAATTTCGTTTCGAATTAAACCAAAGACTATATGTACATAAATAGCTCACATAATTCAACAAGTTGTGATGCCAAAGTCTCTTGAAGAACTTTAGGACACTTAATTCGATGTATTAGTTGATGAGGCAATCAATCCGAGACCTAATCAATGATTTCACATGCACTCCATGTCAGGTGCAATGGTGGTTAGCAGGCCCAGTCAAACATGTGATCCCATCAACTTACCTGCATCCCATCGTGTTTTGATATGAACCACACCATCGACCACACTCACATTAATGGACCCAAAAAGAAAGTACACTTCTTGTAGCTGCTGCATCCATATCTTAAATGCCTTCAGCACTGCAACAAGGTATTTCTCAGTCATAGACTTGTCTAAATTAGCCTCCCACATCATCATCATTGAAGTAGAAGATTATAGTTTCTTGTGTTGGATGCAAAAAGACTGTCACTGAACTCGTTTGAGAAGCAAAAGGCCAATAGAGTAACTCTGCTGCAAACCCACTGTTCTTATTTCAGAAGATAGAAAGTTACAAGCACTGAGATGTTGATTGCTTCAGCTACAGATTCCAAGAGAATGGGAAATCTATTAAACATTATGTCAAGTTGTAATATTTACATAGGCATGACAAAAGTCCACATTCCTTGTATCTGTCTTCACCCATCGAATGTAAGAACAGTGAGGAAGGCTTCCATCAGTTTGAAGTGCTAATCCTTGCAACATAAAAGCTTGAATCCTGGCTTGATCGACGTCGAGGAGCCGTGATCCGGTGGGTGAATGAACTTGCAGTTTGGACATGATAAGGTCGCCTTGTTCATCATCACCAGCATGTGGCAACGCATGCAGACCGTGGCCATCATCTCTTCGGGGCCGGCGTCGAGGGACACCCACGACAAGGAGCACGCTTTGCCACCGGAATTGTCTTGCTTCCTCCGCTCCTCCTCTCTTCCTCCTCCATCGATGTGGCTTCTCGGTGGCTCGCATGCGAGGTTGAGCTCGAGGTCCAGGCTTAGCGGCGAGCTCGGTGGTTCCAAGTTGAGCCTGGGGTCCCTAGAGGTCCTCCTGTGCGTTCTGGTGTTGTAGAAGTGAATCTCCCCTGACTGCAAAGTTCAGAATTCACAGATCAGCTGCTTTCCTTTCCGTCCAACATCGATAGTTCAAGCACGCATAAATATGAATTCACGCGTACATGAAAAGCTCTTAGATCTAAGTAATAAACTGTAAAACTATCATCTTGAATCGAATTATACATGCCAAAGCTTTCGCCTTCTCGAAAGCGTCTGTCTACCTTGAGATCGAGGCAGCGCTGCCATTCCAAAGGCAAGGGGGCGTCGAGATTAAGCCGGATGTCGTCCTCCTCAGCTTTCACAAACTTGGCCTCCTTCACAAACCAATCATCTTCGCTCGCTTCTGCATCTCTGCACTTCCTTTTCTTACAAAGGGAATTCTCGAGGTCGGGGCATGCTTTCCTGTCCTCCGGAGAAAGGGCTGCTTGCAAGGACACCATGGATGTCGATACAAAGGAAACTTGAGCTCCGAAACTTGTTCTGCCCCCGTGCATCCGATGAAGGATTTGAGCTGCTTATATAGGCGGGATTAGAAGGGCCATTTAAGCGCACAAAACTGCAAGCAAGGATCTAAGCGAGGGTGCTATAAAAGAGCACCGGGAAGGACCCACACCCACATCATCATGACACGCTTCTACCACCCCAAGAAGACCCCATCAACTCAACTATATCCATCCCTGTCAACATGGTTTTCGCTCTCCGACTTATATAGCTCTGACTACACATCGGTGCAGGAGTTAAGACCACATACATGCACAAGAAGTGACGTGGGAATTGGCACGAATTGAATCGCATTTCTGCTGCAACTAATGCCATGGCATGGTTGGTGTGGAAGCTATAAATGAGTCACAAGGGAGAGAGGGGGATGGAGGAGGAGGGTGGAGCAAAGCCCGGGCAGTAATGTTGCGAGGAAGGAGAAGCGCATGCAGTTGAGGAGGGATTGAATGCCGTCTGTCTTCCATTAACTCCAACATCCACATTTGGGTCAACCAATAAACTTATATTTAAAGCAGGCCAACACCCATTTTCGAACCCTAATTTAAAACGATCACATCTGGTGATGTAAGTAGGCACTCTCTTCCTTCTCTCTCCTATTTAATGATACCCCCATTCATTGCCTTGCTTCTTTTCCCTCCCTTCTCCTTTTCACTTCAACTCCCTTACCAGTTACTGCATCTACAGGTAGATTGTGAACCATTGGCATGCATGAGAAGCTACCTCCTCCGGTATGCCGTGCAACCTTCGAAAGGAAACATTGCGTTACAAGCACTGCCGTTGAGAGTCTAAGAAATGGTTGGCCGATGAGAAGGAAAGGCGAAGCTGTCTCTTTCATCTGCCAACCTTACTTTGACTCGACACAGTGGAGCGCTTCAGATATCATTGGACAAAGGCTCCGACTTCTCTCATGTTTATGTGCATACATACATATACACGTAAATTTACATGCATAGCGAATGAAGGTTGACATCGTTAGAATCTGGCTAGGAATTAGTGATCTTATAGACAAAAGCAGGTGAATCATCAGATGTTGGGTACTCTTTAACTCATTTTCGCGACACTTAATTGCTAAAATATTTTAAGCAAACATGAATTTTACCCTTTAATGAAGGGTAGGTTTTGGATTGTTGAGAAGTAATGGAGAGAGGAGAGGATATTTATGCTTGAAAAGAGAGACATCATTAACATTAAAAGCTGGTAGAAGAAGAAGAAGAAAGCCCATGGTTGATGGCTTTGAGTCCAGCTGCCACAATTAACTCCTCTTGAATTCACATCAATGCTGGTTTTAAAGCAAGAAGAGTCTTCTTCTCTCCCACTGAACCATAGCTCCCACTGTGTTAAATGCAAACACCCACCAATGGGGCTATCCTCGAGCTCCTTAGGCATTCTATTTAAAGATCTAGCCATAGGACAATATCTGAGAATTTAATGCTGTGAGCAGAACCATTCTTCGAAATGGCTCACCAACATGAAGTGTGCTTGACGAAGGATCTATCAGTAGTATTGTTTTGCATATTTATGCTGTGGCTGAGATATCAGCACGATTTGGCCCATCCCGAGTGCATAAGATCATCAGCATGATCTTTGAGCTGGAGCGTATTAACTCGAGGTCTGGTTGAGACTTAAGATTACTCCTTTTAACTGTTTGTGGGGTGCCTACACACAGGTCGAGAGTGGAATTCTCGACTCGACCCCTCCGATGCTTAAATTAGCAAGAGTTATTAGGTCCGACTTTCAACATTGTTCCTAATGTGGCTTTTATACCTGTTCATACGTGCGATCGTACATAGCAGTTTTAACGATCCCTGGTCATCATCGTACGTAAGTATTTAATGCTCGTTGATATCGCAAGCGACCGACCCATGTGTTGGGTGCAAGCACCATTTGATCTGCTTGATTTAGTCTCGTGCGACTTTGCTTCCCACCTCTTGTGTAACCTGGTACATGATTGTGCCATTCCGTACAGTCTCAAGCGAAGTCGGTACGGGGGGATGGCGTCAGGTGACTAGCTAGCCTCAGACTCATCGTATTGAGTTGGCTCGATGTAACACGTCGATTTAAAGATGTCATGCCGAGTTGCTGTGATAGCTAATATGTCGTGTGGTGTGAATGTCAAAATATATTATATCAAATATAATCCAAGAATATGGCCCACTAATGTCGTAGGTTCAGCCAGTGACATGTTTCAATGTTCAGAGCTCGAGCAGCCCCCGCTCATGGTTGGTGATCGATACACTCGCGCACGAAAGGTGAACATGAAACAGGAGAGAGTGAAACATAAGCCCTTGAGAGAGCTTCAATCCCAATCCGGCTAAGGGGATTGAATGAAGGATATATATATATATATATATATATATATATATATAAAAGATCATTTTAAGAGCTTCGCGCTCTACCGACTGAGGTAGACGAACATTATTTTGATTGTTTATTCTTATTAATTAGAACATTAGGTGATGGACATTTGAATGGGTCAACACTGCAAGAATAGGCAGTGTCCAAAGCCGGCCAATGGCGGGAATCGAGCATGTCCTTAACGTGTGTGCGGGTGTTTCTCCCCTTCCCTTTCCCCTTCCGTGCTAACTCCGCCACCACCACCTTCTCTTTTCTCTTCTACCCACTCTGCGATAGTCCGTCTCCTCTCATGGTGGAGCGGGTGCCGCCCTGCACACCGCCCTCGCCGGAGCCTCAGCCAGCCCCCAGTGCTCTCCTTGATACTGTCCCCGTGCCGGCCGATCCTAATCCCGGTCCCGATCCCGATCCCAATCCCTCGCGTCGCCTTGGCACCTACGTCGTCCGAGTGCCCAAGGACCAAGTCTACCGCGTTCCTCCGCCCGAGAACGCCAAACTAGCGGAGCGGTACCGCAACCAAAACAGGAGCCGGCGGCGGGGGAGCCCCTGCCTTTCCTGCCTGAAATGGATCCTCGGTGTCGCCTTCCTCGTCTTATTACTCATCGTGGCTGTCACCGTCATATTCTTCGTCGTGGGAAGGCCTGGGGCTCCGACGTTCACAGTCCAGCGTCTCTTCGTCAAGAGCCCCCGCAGCACCACGGGAGCGCACCCGAAGCCGGAGTATGATCTCACGATGAGCGTCAGGAATCCAAGTCGCGGGATGGGTTTCTCCTACGAGGCCGGAGGGAGGGCGGTCATCACCCACGGCACCGTGGAAATCGCGGCGGGAACGACGCCGGTGTTCGTCCATTCGGCTGGTTCTTCGTGGCTCCAATGCCTTGCTGCCGAAAGAGATCGGCAGGAGCATGAAGGGCTAGAAGAACGCCGTTGACATTAGTCTAATGGCTAAGCTCACGGTGAGGCCGAGGGTTGGGGGATTGGAGATGTGGGCTAAGAGTATGGACGTAACTTGCGATGTTCAAGTCATTGGAACGGTGAAGCAGCCACAGATCTCCTCGCAGCACTGCAACACAAAGCTTTAACTGTGACTAAGGTTTTTGGTTCTTCGAATTGGTGTATTTCTTCTTCTTCCTCCCTCTCATTTGATTCCTCATTAGGACTGGAACATTCAACTGTTGCATGCATGGGTGTAAGGGTTAGAGAGATAGATACTTGATCCAATTTAATGTCTTGTGTAGGGATCTCATTTTGATAGTGGTAACACAACTTGTACTCATCATAGATCACATTGAAATTTATATGGAAAACAAATTTACTAGCAAATTTTCTGTGACAAGCTTGCTCTAAGCTATCACTATGTAACCAAGTTATTGAAATGAAAGCAGCAGTTCAGATATCAGAAATGAAAGCAGATAGCAAATGCTATAGATAGCCACAAGCAGTTTTAGAGAACACAGTAAATGTCACATAATACCAATACAAAGGGCATCCTTTGCAGACAGTACCAGATGGTTAAACTTCATATTGTTCATAGGTCTTGAGCAGCTCGGCGCAGACCGACAAGGGAGTGTCCGTCTGGAAGCCCAGCGAGTTTGCGTATCTGGTGTCGGAGGCAATGCCATTGTTGTGGCTGAGGAACACACGAGCCCTCTCACGACCCTGGAGTGGGGTCTTGCATCTACTTTCTGGACTGCTAACAAGCATAGATTCGCAGATCTCGTGTTCATGCTCGTCTGCAACTAGAATGTTATAGGTACCTGTGTGGTCAGTCGTGCCCTCGAAATTGCATGTCTTGGCACCAGTGGCTTTGGATCGACACTCGATCCTCACCTTTGCACCTGCAGAGCACGTAGAGCTACTGTCAACTTGATAAATTGAAAAGAAGGCATCTTAAATCCAATCTGAAAGCCGATATAAAAATATCCTTAATAATATCGATATCATTATGCATTATATGTTCATTAACTGGTAGCAAAATAACAATGTTATAATGATCCAACAGAACAACAATTTAATACGCGCCTATCAGCGATGCTATTCCTTTGATGCATTGGTGCTGATAAAATTAGATTTGGAAATTTCTTAGCCTCTCCTATGTTTAACACACTACTATGTCTAACATATTTATTTCATAACCCTACACCCTAATTTTCATAGCCTCTCCTATGTTTAACACGTTGGAGTACCAGAAAGACGATGGCATGCATACTCTGAAAAGTGATCTTGGCTAACGAAAACTTTATGCATTTATAAGTGTGAATATACCAAAATTTTAAGTAGCTTTTATTTATTCCATTTCAATTCCGGTACATATAAACATTATAGGAAGTGCCTATACTGTAAAAGTTGTGTCCAGACCAGGAAAAACCGGTCAGATATTTAAGAAGCAATAATTATATCAACTATTAATTTCTATATATGAATTCAAACATGAATATTAAATAGCCACTGAATATCATAAGGATATTTCTAAAAACCTGATATGAATAAAAAACAGATGTGCAATGAAGACAAATTAGAATTGGGTAACTAATACTGCATGAAGAAAATATATCCTTAGCAAGTAATGAAGACACTAACACAAAACCTGTCAATGATATTTCTTGGCCAGGAAGAACTTTTCTCCAGTTAATATACGTAAATTAAACAGTTCGAGATTTGCTTCATATAATTACACAAATTATTGGTTCTCAAAAAATGGGGACCAATAGGGAAACCAGATAGCAAAATTCATAAAGGATACAAATATGCAGCATGCACAAATTTATGTAGCCACATCTTGCTCCAATCAAGTATGAATAGAAAACTCCAATGTTCCAACTCACTTTCTGCCACAGCCGAGAGACAAATTGACATAAGAGCTAAAATGTATACTCAGGAGTAATACCCTATGCCCACAAGTTTGGCAGGATGAATATTTAGTAGATCAGAACAGCGATAATTACCTAAAGGTTATATTTTTTTTGGTCTGATGATGAAACCTTCTTTACTTCCAACATAATAACAGTATCCTATAGAGAGTTAAGATAGTGTTCAATTTTGATAGCTAAGCTGTTGACAACAAAGACTTACCGTCTTTAGCGTATGCATGCAATTTGTGCTTTCTAACTTGGGCTTTGCTCTTCATCCATTTTCAGATTAGGTGTCAACCATAAGGCAAGGCAAATCTCCATATCAAAGATAAAATCAAGACCATAACTAGCACATATGAACTATCTTTACTTCAAGATTTCTGTTTCAAATAGCATTTTTCTAATTAATTACAGGACGTAAATGATCAAATTTGCTTACAGAAAACGCACAAAGCTGCATAAATGTAACCTTCTTCTTTAGATTTATGGTTCGATCTGCACTACCGATCAGAAGGAATGCATTTGATCTTAAATCTATTTTGACGGTAGAATTTCTGAAGATCTGTTAAATAAACATGTATAACACATCACCTCATCGCCTGATCTATCAACAAGAACCAATTCTTAGAGCGTTTCAACCTTAGCAAAGAACAAGCAACAAGATCGATGGCCGAAAACACATCCAGATCCGAACCGCGCCAAGATCAGACGGCCCAAAATCCAACAAAAAAGACATAGATTGAACGCTAGAGTGCTATACCGGGAAACCCTCACCTTTTGTGTAGGTCGACACTGGCGTCTCAAACCCAGCGCGGCAGGTGTCGCAGAAGACGCGGCCCTGGACGACGAACCCTTGCTTACCGCCGGCGACGTTGCGCGCGGCGACAGAGAGCGACGGGAGTACGCACGCCACCGCCAGTACGGCGGTGACTGCAGAGATTAGATGCTTGGCCATGGTCGCGGAAGCGATGGTGGAGAGCGAAAGGAAAGTGACTGACAAGTGGTGAGAGGACTCGAGGAAGCCAACGGCGGTGCCGCAAACAGGAAAAGGACCAGATTTAATGGCCGGGATGATGTTATCGTCACTCGCGGTAATAGTAGGCATTTCCATTAAGTTGGATAAGTAAAAGATTTTGGAGATTTTAAGCGTCTGCTGAGTCTGACTGCAGTGCGGTAAGTTCAACTCGGTGATAGAATCTACTGGAGGTATCATTGTGTGCAGCTGGCATCGGTGGGGCAATCAATTGCGCCGGTGACAGATAAAAGGAGGTGAGGTGGGGTACCTGCACCGCAGAACGCGGAGTGAGCGAGCGAGATTAAAGGCGAAGCGACTCGCTTTTAGTTGAACTGAGTCCACGAGTCAGCTGAGTCAAACGAGATCCAAAAATTCAACCTAGTAATTATACAATATTCCGATCTCTATACTTTATAAATTTATATTAATATTTTTATAATTATAAAAATAAAATATTTAGATCTATTTATAATAATATTATTAATTTTATTAACGAAAATATGAAAATAAAATATAAGAAGATAATTTTAACATTCTAATTGATTGTGATGGATGGTATCGGTGGTGGTGGATGACAACGTCGCTAAAGGCCGTGAGTCGGTATTGTGGATGAGGAGAGCGACGACAAGAGATGTGTAGTGCTCTGCATCTATGTCGATAGCAATGCAAGTGGCCCTTTCGTTGCTCAACAACTGCATCGATGTTGGCGTAGTTGTCGAGTAATGAAAAGATCGCTCAACAGTGCTGACGTAATTGCAAATATCGAGTGACGAAAGGATCATCAATGCAAACATAAAGTGAAGCCGCTTGGCAACTATATCGATGCGGATAGCTATAGAGTGTCGTTGCTTGGCAATTGTATCGACGTCGATGCTGAGTAACACCACCCAACATCTACATCGATGACCCTTTCACCGATTGACAATTGCATCGATGGTAACGAGATACATAATAGTTTTTACCTCTTACCGTTGTTCTCCTCATCCATGAGAGTCATCCGCAACCCTTAATAGTATTGTCATTTGTCACCACCGACATCGTCTATTATCATTAATTTAAATGTTAAAATTATATTTTTATCATTTATTTTGATGTTTCCGTCGGTAAAATCACAACGTTACGATAAAAGGACAGATATTTCACTAGTTATAGAGATCTTAATATAAAATTTTAAAACATAGAGATCGAGATAAAATATCATTAGCCATATGTATTCCGATGACAATTCTGCTTCTTCAAAATGGAAGCCTCCCAACTCACTCTGAGTTGCCGAGTCACCGGACTCGGGGCTGGCCATGTACGAGTTCTTAAACTTTGGAATGTGGACCATTGCTTTCCTTGGACCGTAATCTACGGATCGCAAATCCCCAAATAACAAATAGAGGGAATCAAAAGATGTCACATGATCGACCAAATAATATTAGTCCTTCAAGATGCCTGTGACGTGGAAAAGGATGATGCCAGATGTGCATCTACAGCGGACAGCGGAGGCCATGAATGGGGATGACAATTAAAGCCGAGAGTAGTCCTTCAAGAACACATACCACGACAAATGTTGATGAATTAGAGACAAGACATCCCAAAAAGATCATAAACCGAAGTAATGAGAGAAACCATTCATTCAGATTAAATAGAATCTCATCAGCATATCGAAAAGTGGAAATACGTAAACTGTCACTACAAGCAACAAGGTGAACGGTCGATATAAGCCAAAGCAGACCCACCTATCCCTCCTCTCTCCTAGCAGATTTCACTTGTACTCGAGGTTCATGTTGTTCTCGGGAGCCAAGCCGATGCAAGCCCTGAGAATGTTCTCCAGCATGGCTCTCTGCTTGGAGAGAGCATTCACCACTGGCGTGCCTGGAGGAACCTGTTTTAACCATATAAATCAATAGTTAGCTGAAAGAACAGTGTTGTTACCACTACAATGACACATTTCAATTTGTCCATTGAAGAGAGTTCAAGAGGAAGAACAATCTAACTGCCTTGCTTTTCTAGCTTGAATCGTTATCCCTTTCAAGCAGCCTAGTAGCCTAACCATTTCTCTATATAAAGGCTTCAGTG